GCCTCTTCGCTCGCGCTGATGTCCAAGAGTTCCTTGAGCATGGTCGTTGGAAATTTGGGCGGCCTGGGGGACCTTGCCGCGTCGATCCAGTGGCTGACGGAGCGCCTCAAGGCCTTGTGCTCGCCAGCCCCGTCCAAGATTTACTCGAAAGGCGAGTTCAAGGGCATTATGTTTGCAGAGTTTGGCACTACAGACGAGCGTGACCGCGCAGTCGAGGTCCTCCGTGCCAGCGCCCCCACAAACGGCGAGAAGAAGGTGTGGGCTAGCGAAAATCGCTCACCAGCGAACCGGGCGGCCCGCAACTTTTGCCTTGGCTTCAAGCGGATCCTGAAGCAGGAGGAGCTCAAAGCGCCGTACGTTGTGAACGTGTCGGACGGGGACCCCTACGAGGTGGTCGTTGGTGGCACGCACGCGTCGACAGCGACCGTGAAGGACCACGACGTTGAGTACCAGTGGCACGGCGAGTGGGCTGCGCGGGAAGAGTTGCGCGGCCACCCCCTCATCAAGGACCTCGCGACAAAGTCTGTGGATCTGCTCGCTCGTGCCGGCAAGGGCATGAAGGGCGGAACCAAAGGGAAGGGCAGGGGCAGCGGGCCCCATTAGGACGCACAGCACATGGGCAGAGTTTCACCGGCAGCAGTCGGCAATACTGCAACTATAAGCCACCATCGTTTGAGAATTCATGAATGCACGAACGACGTAGTTTCACCCACAGTAGGCACTACTGTGGAGCAGCCTCTACCCAGCCGGGCCGGACAGGCACGTGTCTTCCGAGGTGGCGGCCTCAGACCTTGCTCGCGGCAGCTCCGGATTGCCACCTGGAACGTTGAGGGTTTCACGGACGCGAAAGAGATCGAGCTTGAATGGCACGTGCGCCAACAGAGCATTGACATTCTGTGCATGCACGAGACTCACAGGGACATATCAGACTACTACGTATCGGACGGCGGCTACTTGTTCATTTTCTTTGGGTCCGCGGACGAGGAGGATAAGGAGACGGCAGGCGTTGGCTTCATCATCTCTCCGCGGCTGCGCTCGAGTGTGGTCGGCTTCAGGCAGGAGTCAGCAATAATGGCATACGTGAAGCTGCGGGTGCAAGGCGGGAAAACTATCGTCGGCAGCGCGTACGCGCCGCATAACGGGAAGAACTTCGAGGACAGGCAGCGGTTCTTCACATCTCTTGGAGCTTTCCTCGCTCAGACGTCGCGGCACGGCCCGATGATCTTGCTCGGAGACTTTAACGCGCGCCTGCACAGGCGCCACCCGCAAGAAGAACATATCATGGGACCGCATGTGTTTGGGCACCCGGAGGCTGAGCACAACGCCGCTTCCAACCGCAGCCTGCTGGTTGAGCTGTGCGAGCATCACAAACTCTGCATCGGCAACACAATTTTTCATGAGCCAGCACATCGTCAGGTCACCTGCTACAACGTGGGCAAGAAGCCGTCTCAGACACGCCGGACAATTTTGGCCAGATCGATTTTGTTTTGGTTTCACAGAATTGGGTTCAGCAGTTGCAATCAGTGGCAAGCAACAAGGACTTGGCACTGGCGTCTCACTACTTCCTCGTGCAGGCGGACGTGGACATAATGGTGCCGATCGAGGCCCGCCGCGAGCAACCGACTCGGCCTGACTTGCGGGTTCTCCGGCTGCCAGAGCATGCCAACCGTTTCGCCATGGCCTTTGCCGACGAGATGGAGGCCGCCGACACGGGCGACGGCGGGGCCAACGAAATCGTTGCTATGCCGTGGTTTCCTTCAAACAGGCAGCCGCCACGCTACCTATAGCGCCGCCGGTGCCGCGGAAGCTGTGGATTTCAGACCGCACCATGACGCTCATCGCGAAGCGCACCGAGGCCAGAACACGCGGCGACCTGGCAGAAGAGAGACGTTTGAATTACGTCGTCAAGAGCTCTGTGAAAACGGATAGGGCGGAGTGGTTGGAACACCTCCTGGCGACGGGCGACTGGGACCAGGTGCGACGATTGCGTAAAGGGGCCGGGCGGAAGCAAGGCAAACTTCGCAACGTTCGCGGCGACCTGGTTGACTCCGAGGTCCGTGCGGACACGCTGGCAGACTTCCTGACGGAGGTGCAGTGGGCCGCGCGCGACACCACGCCGATGTCGACAACGCCCCTTGGCCCCGACTTGCCGGTCAACTTGGGGCAGATCGAAGACTGGGAGGTGACCGAGGCAGCCAAGCGCATGAAGTGGGGCAAGGCGTGCGGCAGTGACGGCATCCCCGGCGACTTCTGGAAAGCGGTCTGCGCTCGCGACTCCCCGGCGAGAGCTTGGGCGCTAGCGTTGTGCCGGCGGTGTTGGGGCCAGGGCGTCGTGCCAGAATCTTGGCACAATTCCTTAGTGATTGCATTGTTCAAAAAGGGTGACGCCACGCTCTGCGGCAACTACAGACCAGTGTGCCTGCTTCAGGCCGGGTACAAGTTGTTTGCGACTCTTCTCCTCCGCCGCTTGAAGGACGCCGGGGCCGAGGGCCGCATCTGGGGCACCCAGTTTGGATTCATATCGCGCCACGGCACCACCGACGCCATCTTCCTCGCCAGGCGGAGGCTGGAGGAAGCGTGGTCGAGCGCAGAGGGCCAGCTCGTGCTGCTCGCTCTGGACTGGGCCAAGGCATTCGACAGCGTCATGCCGGGGCCTCTGCTGAAAGCGCTGCAGCGCTTCGGAGTCCCAGGGAAAATGTTGACAATGATTCAAGCCATCTACACGGGCAGGAACTTCGCTGTTCGCGAGGCCGGCATGATGTCCGGGACCCGCGAGCAACACGCGGGAATCTGTCAAGGTTGTCCTTTTTCACCCTTTCTCTTCGCCATGGTGATGACCGTGCTGCTGCGCGACGCCCGGGTCACGCTGGGCGACCGCATGGGGGACACGGAGGATCTTGTGTACGCTGATGACACGCTCATCGTAGCCACTGGCACGGAGCGCGCGCAGGAGTACATGACGGCTATAGCTGCCGCTGGCACGAACTACGGCCTCAAATTCAATTGGGGGAAGCTTGAATCGCTGACAATCCGGTGCCAGGGGACCGTGACGAGTCCAGACGGCGCCCAGATCCCCAAAAAGGACTCCATGGTTTATTTGGGGAGTGTTTTGGCGGCAGATGGATCGATCGCTTCCGAGCTGAGCAGGCGACTTGGTTGCGCCAGGGCTGAGTTCGACACCCTTGCCCGAGTCTGGTCTCATTCCACCTTGTCCACACAACGGAAATTGCAGATCTTCGAAGCCTGCGTGCAGACAAAGTTGCTGTACGGATTGCACGCGGCGTGGCTCCAGAAACATGAGTTGGCCAAGCTCGACAGCTTCCACGTGCGGTGTCTGAGGAAGGTGTTAAGGATACCGCATTCATACATTAGTCGTATCTCGAGCGCTGTAATTCTGGACAGGGCCCGCCGGCCACCGTTGAGCCGCATCTTGTTGCACCGTCAATTATGTCTTTTTGCGCAGATTGCCCGGCAACCGGTTGATCATCCTTTTCGGCGTGCGGTCTTCCAGCCGTCTTCTTCGGAGCTGCGTCCGCTGGCCGGCAGACGACCCCGGGGCAGGCCGAGACAGTCATGGACGAATGAATTGTACAAGCATGCGAAGAGAGTCTGCGAGAGCAATGCGTATGATTTTCGACAGCTCGCGGCAATCCCAGCAGAAGCCTGGAAAGCCGCTGTGCGACACTACTGCCCATAGTGTTGCATTACTGCCCATGTGCTTCGACACCCGGCTTGCATTCATTGCTACCATCGCATCCTGCACCCAAGTGTCGCGTACATCTACGGAAAATGTCCACAATGCTGGCCGCAAGATTGCGCGGCTGTAAACCACAACGTAAAAACACTCGCGAGAAAACCTTGGACATCGCTTCGTTTCGGATTAAACAACGTTTTTTGACTGAGTTACATCACAAAACCTCACATGCTGCAGCGGACGTCTTTGATCGCAATATCAAGGCTTGCTATTGCAAGAACGATTGGAGAAACACTCGATAGGAAGAAGAACGTGGGTAGACAAAATCAATGCGCTACCACCGCCTCCACCGAAACCGGCGGATAAGGCAGCATATCGCCCAACCAGTGGCAGGGGCCACTCCCCATCAAAGGAAGCGAGCCCGAGCCGGATCCGCAGCGGGGCCAGTGACCAGGTGGTCACACTTCGTTTGACAATCAATCAGAGGGTGCAGGACATCCTGAAAGATGTCAGCCTTGATGCAAATCGAATGAGGCTGTGAGGATTGTGGCTGGCTGGTTCGAGCGGGGAGACCTCTCTGGGAGAGACATAAGACTAGCGCAATCAACAACAATTTGCCTGTGGTCCCGCAAGCTCATCTTCTACCGTGAGTGTGTTGAAAGCTGTAGCATCGGGGATTAAACCATATCCCGATTGTGAACTATAGCATCATGTAGCGACACGGTGAGGTACATCGTTCAACGGACTGCTATTGATACCAGCTCTGCCTCTTCTAGTTATGGTGCTTGACTCAGAAGGGAATCAGATCTGAGGGGGGCCGTTCGAATCCGTCCGTCCGCAGCAGTCTTGAGATATCGAGCATAGCAATGGCAAAAAAATCATCCGCCTTCCCCCGCGCCCCCGCGTAGCATTTCAAGGATGGAGGGAGGAGGAGGAGGAGGAGGAGGAGGAGGAGGAGGAAGGGGAAGAGGAAGAGGAGGAGGACGAGCGGGAGGAGGAAGAAGAGGAGGAAAGAGGGGGAGGAGAAGAGGCTCAGGCGAACGCGGGGCGCTCTCTTCAAAACGAAGACCCGACACCACACTCAGGCTTTTAGGCCAACGCGAAACAACACTGCATAAACACAAGCTGTTGGAATGCCGCGCGAATGTCTTGGACCGCTGGACCCCCCCCGCGCGGACCTTTGACAACTTATGTTTAGGCCGCGGTTGTTCTTCGGATGTTGCCAAAACAACGCTACCCCCGTTACCCCCCCCTGCTAGCGCGGCCTTTGATATTCACCGTTGCCGGTACTGCGGCACCCCGCGTCCTGTCGCGCCTGCTCCCTCGCGTCGCTCGCGGACAGCTGCTGGTCCTGCCCGCCGTTCCTCACCAAGCCAGACAGCCGGCGTCGGCGGCCCCTCAGGAGGGGGGGCCCGCAAAACAACGTTCAGCCTTTGACGTGGCGGAAGGTCCCTCCTCCTCCTCCTCTGCCTCCTTTGGGAATGAGCGCAGGGTTCTGGAGAGATCTGCAGCATCTCTGGGATGCTGGGGCTCCTCCTCCTCCTCCTGGGCATCCTCCTCCTCCCTTTGCTGCTCCTCCTCCCCCTCCCGCTGCGGCAAGTAAGTCTCCCAGTTGCGCAGGGCCTCCCAAGGCGGGTCTTGCTGCTGGGGCGGAGCGCGAGGCAGCGGTGCCGACAGCTCGGGCATCAGCCAGCCGCTCAGTTGGTTGATGCCCCACCCTCCTCCGTCCCTTCAAATGCTCCAAATGCTTGAAACGTTTTGACGCCGTGCTGCGCAACTTCTCCAAATGTTCACCCTCCCGCTCCACTTCCTCTTCCTTCTCCCCCACCACCTCCCCCCCCTCCTCCGCCACCCCCTGCTCCTGCCCTTCCTCCTTCGTCGTCCTCCCCTCTCCCAGGAGCAACTATCACGAAACGCAACTACCTTCACGCGTTCGCGCCGCCCGCCCGGAACAGGATGGGGGGACGCTCGCCTCGCCGTGAAATCGCCCGGACTGCGAAGTGCGACTAGCCTCGCACCCTCGTGGTGGCCCTGGTTCCCCTCCCCCTTCTTGACGTTCGGCACTACAGCCCGAGTCCGGAAATCGCCCAGACTGCGAAGTGCGACTAACCTCGCACCCTCGTGGTGGCCCTGGTTCCCCTCCCCCTTCTTGACGTTCGGTACTACAGCCCGAGTCCGGTCGACGACCGACAGCGGGCACGTGTGGGACACTGGGCCCCTTCGGCCAGAAAACAACAGGACGCAAGACAGCACCCGCCCCCCATACAGTGCTTGCGCGGCCGCAAGAACCCCCCGCAAGGAACCCAACCCTGAGAACCCGCGCGCGAAGGGGAAGCCCGGAGCACCCTGGACGCAGCCGCTCCTTCCCCGGCTGCGGGAAGCCCCCGCGCGGCGCGCGGAGCGAAGAAACCCAGGATACCCTGACAAAAAATATATGGTTTCTTGATGCGCGCCCCCATCCGTACTTCCCCCACCCCCTCCTCCCCGCCCAGCTCCTCCGCATCGTCCCCGCAGGCCCCGACCCGGGGAGCGGAGGCCTGAGCAGGCCTCAAGCGAACTCAGCATGCCCGAGATGCTCGTGGGCCCCAAGTGAAGCGTTGTTGCACCCTCGATGTGCGGTAAACTGCATCTTAAGCTGTGCCGTGCGTCCTGTCAGGCGATATGTGTATGCTTATGTACATAGACATATGCATATTCATTTACAGGTGCACATGCATATTCATTTGCATATACATATGCATTCACACATACGTAGACATATACATACACACACACACTCATATACAAACACGTCTACGCAGATGCATAGACATGTGCACACACATATAATTATGATTGTACATGTACGTATGCATGTACGCGTGCATAGTCATCTACATATGCATGTACATACATACGTGTACATAGACATACAATTATACATGTGCATGTACATATGCGTGTACACATACATATCCATCTACATGCACATACATACATGCATGCATGCAAGCAGGCATGTGTGCATACATACACATACACACATACATATCACATATCCATACTCACTTGGGCCATCGCGCGCGCTCCGCACGTGGCTCAGGTGCTAGTCGAAGTATAGGCGGGCCGCGTTGCAACAACGCGCGATGTGTCCCTCGATCTGCCTCATCCCACCACAGCCGGCCACCGCTGCCCTTACCACTATCTGGGTACAGTCGGACCCAGGCCAAAAAAACACATTCCTCGAGAGCGCGAGACCATCCGTCGTCCAAAACACACAGAACATCCGAAGGGACCCTCCCAAGGATGCACAAGAGCATCCAACAAACACGAATAGCACTAGGGTGCCCTTCCGGAGCCGACCTCAATCTTATACCTCGGTCCGATTGTACCCTGGTGAAATCTGACCTCGAACAGCCCTTTTACGTTATTCTGTCGTCGCAGCGTGCCCGACGTCACGGGGGAACGAAAAGTAGACGGGCACCGCGCACAATAACTGGAGTGAGTGGCGGCGCGCAAGATTCCAAAAGAACAAGCTGGAACGGGATGATTGACCAAAAATATGAAAACAAAAAAAACGGAACAAACGGAAACAAAGAAAAGGAAGAGAAACCTGTAACGGAAAGCGGCGGATGCGGGAAAACAGACAAAACGACAGGCCCGCACTTCGGCCCCCAAGGGCGGCCCTCTCAGAAAGCACGCGCATGGGACACGCGCCCCCCCGCATTCAAACACACTGAATTATCGCTACATTCGTAGACTTGGGAAGACATGACAACGAGTACCTCAGTTGTGGATATCGCGTTCGGGGGATATCTTCATGGGGCACGCGAGATGCGAAGGGCGTGCTGGTATGGGGCGATGCATGGGGCCTTCGGTGGAGTTCCCAATTGGGCCACCGGGTGCGGTGCTGGGTGCGGGAAACGCATGCGGAAAATACCGGCGGGGCCTTCGGTGGAGCTTCCTATGGGGCCGCGGGGCGACGTACTGGGTGGGGGAGACGCATGCGGACGGTGCCACTAGGGTTGTCGGTGGAAGTACATATGAGACAACGATTCGAGGTACGGGCGGTAGCGCTGGGGCCTTCGGTGGAGTTCCTTATGGGACCTCGAAGCGCTGCATTGCGTAGGAGAGAAAACATGCGGGCGGTTCAACTGAGGCCGTTGGTGAAATACCCTTTTGGGCCACGGAGCGGTGTAGTGGGTGGTGGGGACGCATGCGGGCGGCAGCACTGGGTCGTTCGCTAGAGCTACCCATGGGGCCACGAAGCGCTGCACTGGGTGGTGGGGACGCACGCGGACGGTCGCACTGGGACCTTCGGTGGAGCGTTCTATGGGGTCATGAAGCGCTGTAATGGGTGCGAACGCTGGCGCAGGGACCTTCGGCGGAACTCCCTATGCGGCGACGAAGCGCTGTACAAGGTGGTGGGTACGCATGCGGGCGGTAGCAATGGAACCTTCGGTGGAGCACCCTATGGGGCCACGAAGCGCATGAGGAGTGCGCGGAGGGCAGACGCAGGGACGAGAAGAGACTTGGGGGGAAAGGGAAGAGGAAGGAACGCGGGGACTGCCTCGTCCAAACAAGGACCCAACGCAGCAGGATGGCTGGGAACAAAGAACAAGCTCAATAACTACGTCGTCATAACCTCTTCCTTGAATTAATTACACGCATCGTGTGAAAACGCACAACTTTGCCACAATAACACCTTGAGTGTAGATGTAGTCCCGGACGTCGTTGTCCCAACGTCCTTCGGTCTGCTCATTACACGACGCGTTGATATATATATATATATATAGAAGTCAGAGCCAGATCCCAATGCATCGCTTGCGATAGAGAACGGCCCGTACCCACGGTTGCCTTTTTTTCGGAATGCCCATCACCACGTGCGTCGTCTTTGCTGGTGTACCCATGGCTCATCATGGGTTGCCTGGAAATGTTCCTCTGTAGCCCTCGTCGATCCTCTGATAAGAATTGGTCCCAAGCTCCAGACTCATACTTCCCGAAACGCCAAACGCTGGGCATTATTGCTCCGGCTCTGGGTTGCTGTCTACGTCTGCACGATCGACACTGGCATGATCCAACCCATCCGTTGGTAGTGCTCTTCGCGTCGCCCTCAACATCTGTTTGAGCATCCTCGAATGTACACATGTGACTTGATGTTCCACGTCGCGGGCCACGGACCATACTTCGCGCTTCCATACACAGGCGCAGGCACCTCTGTGCTGTTTAACCATCGCAAGCGCTTCTGCAAAGGGTAAGATCGGTTGGTCGAGAAGTGGTCGTGGAAAACGTATGTTGCTCCTGCTTGCGAGAGTATGTTGTTGAGCTCGCATTCGAAAGGCTTGTGTCAAGATGCGAGACGTCCCAAATTCTTGATCACTGATGCTTGCGGAACAATGTCGGAATTCAGGCTACTTGCAAGGTAGGCGCCGCGGCAAGCACGTCATCAGAGAAACGTGACTTGGGAAGCCTGTTGTTTTTTGTTCAATGAGCCATTTTCGTATGCCGTACCCCCTTCTGTATCAATATGTCTGCATTGCCTGAGACAGTGCTCGAGTAAACCCTTCTAATAACGAGTGGGACAATGGTGCACCCTGCTCTGTCCCACGTTGTATAGAACTGGTCGCTCAGCACGTCCGTCCGCACCCGCCCATGTTGGTCCGTGCGTGGAACATACGGTTCCAAAGCAAGAACACTCTGGTCACGAAGCGCATCCCGCAAGGAGCCGTGTTCGACCGTATCGCACGCCTTTTCAAATTCTGATGCGCCGTGCCATTATGCTTGTTGAAAATAGTTGGTCTTTTCCTGTATCCATGACGAAGTGAATGTGGTCGGTCGTTGAAAACACTTTCGTGAATCCAGCTAGGTCGCGCGATTGCTCAGCCCCCAAGTAATTTACAAACTTTGGGTATAGAATCGTGCGACAAGTCAATATAGACCCAGCATTTTCGAAACAACTCTATGCTTGGATGGCGGCGTAGGGTCCCAGTCCTTAAAGCTATACTTTCATGACTGTGTTTCCACTGCGTTGGAGTCGGAGCCCCGGGCTTGATGATAGCATGGGTGGGGCGCATGATTGGAGGCGGAGGCAAAAGCGCATGGTGGTGTGCGCCAGCACTAGACGCCGGACTTCATGGGAGGGGAGGGAGGCAACCTGACGAGAAGGAAGCGTGCGTGTTTTTTTTGCTCTGGAACATCCTTCAATTCAGTGAGGCGGACGTGGGGCGAGAAAAAATGGCGAGGGGGAGGTAGGCAGGGGTAAAGGAAGGATCAGGAAGAGCGAGGAAGCAACTGGACAGGGCGGACAAGTGAAAGAAGGGATGGATAAAGGAGGAGGAAAGGATGAGGAGAAGATAACGTCCTGCTCAGACAAACAAACTCACCACCCAAACCGTGCTTTCCCGTACCATACCCATCC